GAATGGAAGAAACTGGAGTAAAAATAGCATTAGTGAGACATGAGTAAGCTGTATACAGGATTGCTGGTACTTATCTCTACGCGGCAGATGAGGTGAGATATCCTCAGCACCACTAATGAGACACTAGAAAAGAGAAGTAGCTGGATGTAAATTCAATTAGGATACAGTAACGTACATGTAACTGAGGACAGCATCACATCTGTATCACTGTGAGTGTAGAGAAGAGAGCATTTTACAGCTCTGCTGAGGAGAATCTGAAAAAGACGCATATCGTATACAAAACGAGTGAGAAATATATGACATGAAGCAGCTATTCAGAGAAGGCATCTGTACAGTACTGAGATAACCCTGGTAAAGGAGTAAATGAAGTTAGGTTTAGAAAACGAACAGCAAATGGTGCAGCATCATGAGATGGATGGGTCAGCCGAGCATAGTCTGCATGAGAGAAGCTCAACAGGTTAGCAAATGCACAGTGTGATCAAGGAATAGCATCTCAGAGGTGTCATGGTTGAAGGCGATGAGGTAGATGTGCATAGTCCACATGAAAAAAGCAGAAGGGATTAATACATGCAAAGCAGGTTTATGGAGCAGCAGCGCATAAATTTCATAACTGAGGTATATGAACAGACATGCACTCTCAGCCTGACATGCACCAGCAGCCTATTAATGACGTCAGTGCCGCTCCGCCACAACAGTGTTTTTGTGAGTTTTATGAGTAAAAACAGCGAAACGCGTACTGCTGGGCAGCAGGAGTTACACTTAATATATAATGACGTTGCCATACTGATAATAAGGTAATTAAATATGGAAACTTTCAAAATAAAGCCTACCACAGCAATAAGACATGAATGTCGGGTTTATTCACAGAAAAGACAAACAGGCTGCTGCTGAAACTCATGAAAGCCATGCTGACAATTAGAACCGGTCATCAAAAACTGTAATATTGATTAAAACTTATAAGGATTCTAGGAGCTAATGACAATGTACAGTCACCATAGTACTGATTACTTTTGCTGTCTCATCAACGTCGTCACAACCTCCTAGAAAGTTGTCAGACAACGTTCATACCTTTCTGAAAAATTACATTACAATGTTATGACAATGTAAAGAGCACCAAGCAGACGACGCTGTGGGCATTGAAACAGTAGGTTGTCAAAGTGTAATTGTGTTTGCAGGGCTGTTAGGAATAAAACCTGACGGTTTGGCTTCCTAACGGGAATTGGCTTGATGGTTGCCGTTAGAGACCATTAGGAAATAATCAAACATATGTGGAATCAGTCCCGAACACCTGATTAAACGATCGGAATCCTTCACACTGTGATATTAACCCATCAGGAAAACACAGAATACCATTAGCCACTACTGAAAACCACCAGAAACCAACAGACACTTTTAATGCGTTCTATGATTTTTATTCAACAGGGAGGTGCATAATGTCACTCTCTAGCCATGTTATGGATGAAAAATGGATAAGTGATGATATCGCTAAATACAGCAGCCAAAAGTTATGTGCCATTTGGGCTGTGCAGCCATTGGCAGAGAGCACATGACGTGATTGGGGCTGAGACTGCATCTGTCTGAGAGCGCATGTCTGCAGCCAGACTCTCCTGATACTGGTTGACTACTTTACACATTGTGCAGACTTAGCATTACCTGTGTGAACATGCTTGAATTTTAGCAGTTTGCTTACCTGGACGCCAAAAGCAGATTTGTGCTGTAAATGCTTGGTGCAATGCTGATCATCTCCAGAGGCACCTTCTGACTCCAGATGATTGTTGTCTGCTTCCATTCCACTTTTTGTCACCTGAAATGGACACAACAGTCATTATTAAACACAAAAATAAGAGGGAAATCCTGTTATGGAAACAGCATGCAACATGTTAGCAGTACCATACTGTAACTGATTGGAATTGTTCTGATCATCTCTAGATAGTCTGCATAAACTCAAATTAACAGTATCCTTTAATTTCAAGCTTCCATTTACATTATGGATATGATATCTTAGAAATATATTCACTATTTGGTATTTAATTATCCACAACTGGTACAAGAAGTAACATTCTTACCTCACTCCTCCAGGGACAATCACCATCTCCATAATTATACGTAATCTCCTCTCCAGGTGTTATGTCTCTTAAAGCAAAAAGGCACAAATGTGGCCTTCCTCCACAATGATTCTCTTCATTTTACAGTTGGGGTTAATGTGGTCGTCATTAACCAGTCTTCCAAGTGTGCCATCATCCCTTGCAGCATCAATGCTGAATTTGAACAAACAGAAGAGTTATTTAGTGACAAAAAGTAATATTTTAGTTGTATAGTTGTAAAATTTAAAAATGTAATGAAAGCAAACAATACACTATTTTCAGTTATTTCACTTAATAATAGTGTCATTATCATTTTGCTCATATAATATATTATCATTGTTAGACTATTCACAGTTTCCTTCTACCTCTTAAGTAACTGTGCTCAATATGCGTCTACAGGCAGGGGTGATTATGCATTTGAGTTAAGGAACATGACATTTTGTAAATAGAAATAGTAGTGAACTAAAGAAAGACTACAAAGCACAATATGTACGCCATACATAAACAGATTAGAAAATGTGGAAAACAGAGCTGGATAACGGAAATTATACTAAATTTAAAGATGATGCGAACTAAATCCACGTTGTGGCTCAGGATCAGGAGGGTCAAGAGGTCATGATCTTAACCAATAACTTTAGAATTACGACCAGCACCTCGCTGGTTCTGATGCGGTGGCCCTTTAAAATCGCGTCAGGGGAAAGTTGCTATACATTTACCGAAAAAGACAACACGACTGAATAAGGCGCATTATAAAAGCTAGCCAGGTCGCTGTTCTGATAAAAACACACGTCATCATTAGATGTGATTAAAAACGGAGTCGATCACAGTAAATGGCCAACGCGTCTGTAAACACAAACGACGACGCTGCCAAACACCTCGGCGCTGATCACAGATGAATGTTAGATCTTTAAAGGTTTAAATATGAATGAGTCGCAGTAATAAAGCGTTTATAGCCCATCTAACACCAGCCTCCCGTCCCCATCTCCGCTCAGCGCGGCTCTGAGCGCCGCGGCCGAAACCTCCCCACCTTTAACCCCGCAGGCCGAGAGAGAAGAAGGGAACAGTTACTCACGTCCAGAGCTTTCCGTGCCAGATGAAGTCGAACAGGAACGCTTTCACGGCGCTGTGATAAACCCGCTGTCTTCTCCGACTCTCCTCCGCACTGATCAGCTCTCCTCTGTACTCCAGCACGAACTCTCCTCTCGCGAAGTTCGTCACGGCAAACACTCCCCTGCCTTAATCAGCAACCACAGACCGCGCTAACACGACCTTCTCTGTGTCGAGGTTCAGTCAAAGCTGATCTACCTGCTCTGCTCACCTTTAAACGAACCAATGTACTTCACATCCAGCCCCGCTCTGTCGCGGCCGGCGGTGATGTGGAAAACAGCGTCGTTTGTCGGGCTCTTCCTCCTCATTACCAAGCTTTCACCCTTAAACACTTCACCAGCTTCTCTACGGAAGACGCGTTAAACATTCATAGGCATCGTAGCGCGAACTGTCTCGATAAACGGGCTGATACAGGGAGGCAGGTTAAAGGCCTTAAATGCCCCGTCAGGGCTGAGCTAACAGGCTAGAACAGCCAGCTAACTAGCGCTAGCTAATTAACGAGAACACGGCACTACTGAAACTAAAATCTTAAATTTACAGCACTATTAAGGTTTATATTCGAGCACAGTTTATTAATTAAACATGTAGTCGCTGAAAACATTCCGTCTGATGGTGAAAGTTCACTCACAGAGCTCTCAGGCGCTGGGCTAGCTCGGCACAGTCACTTCGGACTGGGAAACTGCAGCACTGATCAAGGTGATACCTCATTGGCTCACAGTTCCACTGATTGCTTCCCGTTTCAACCAATCAGAGTTCAGCATTGCTGTACCACGTGATCAAGTGTGCGTCCGCAGTTGTTTTTACAGTCTTTGGCCACAGGGGGCGTGTACACACTTTGAGCAGTTCCCCCTAAGCACTCGCACACTTTTTGTCGAGATTGTGTTCATCTTGGGGACTTCCGAGATTTTAAGGGGGGAGGTTCAGCCCAACGAAATAGACATGCTACATGGTTAACTTTGTGGGGACTCGATTTTGGTCCCACGATGACACACGTCCCCACTTTATTGGTGTGCTTACTGGCTGAAGTCCCCATATTATAAGGTTTACAAACACACTCACACACACACACTCACACACAAACACACACACACACACACATGCACACACACACACACACACACTCACACACACACACTCACATACACACACACACACACACACGCACACACTCTCACTCACTCACATACAGGCTGGGGGGTGGGGGGCTACAGGTCTATTTAAAATTAATAAGATCAATGTAAGGCTGAAGAACCCGGCTGGGTAACCTCCTGACTGACACTCACACACACTCACACTCACACACTCACACACACACACACACACACACACACACACACACACTCACACACACACACACACACACACTCACACACACACACATGCACACACACACACACACACACACTCACACACACACACTCACACACACACACACACACTCACACACACACACACACACACACTCACACACACACACACACACTCACACACACACACATGCACACACACACACACCACACACACACACTCACACACTCACACTCACACACACACACACACACACACACACTCACACACACACACACACACTCACACACACACACATGCACACACACACACACACACACACACTCACACACGCACACACTCTCACTCACTCACATACAGGCTGGGGGGTGGGGGGCTACAGGTCTATTTAAAATTAATAAGATCAATGTAAGGCTGAAGAACCCGGCTGGGTAACCTCCTGACTGATGTGGACAAATTACAGCTTCTTTGGTAAACAAGGAAAAAGGTCACATTACTAACCATCAGCAGAACAGACGAACGCTCCCGCAGGCCGCAGCGGCCAGAAACTCCAGACCTTTGTTTAATGAACGTGCTCACGCCTCTGCCGCTCATCTGGGATTCCCCAGCACTGCGGTGTTCATCTGCTCTCAGTGCCTGAGTGAAGACACGCCACAGTAAGGCATTTTAGGTCGCAGGTGGTTTCAGATTCACACAGAAGGCAGTCAATCTAGAGTGCTAATTTGTCTGCCTTCACCTCAGCTAATGTTAGCCTAGCACATTTTTACTGATCACACAGAATTATTAAAACTGTACACCAGACGTGTCAGCAGAAATATGGACCACAAAACCACAGCAGATAAGAGACAGCTTTAAATTTACTGTGAGAAAAGCATCAGTACAAGGTTTTAAGATGAACAGACACACGCCAGCCATCTGTTCCCTCAGCTAGCGTTACTAGCGTAGTCACATCGTAACTTTTCCACCTTTAGTGAAGAGTAGGTATCTAAACCTGATAAACTCAGTACAAGATGTTGAAAGTTTTATTCCATTAAATCTGTACCGTAAAATTACAGTAAAATTATGTTGAGTTTGATGTGTATGGGAGCTTTTCTATGTGCAGTAGCTGAGCTCTGTACTATCTGCTGTGTGGTGCTTCTGATCTTGTATGCGGTAGCCTTTAGACGGTGTGTGTGGTAGTCTTTAGTCGGTGTGTAGCAGCGTTTAGATGGTTTGCGGTAGCCTTTAGGTTGCTCAGTAGCCTTGAGACAGCTGCAGTACTCTTCAGATGGTAAGCAGTAGCCTTTAGACAGTGTGTAGAAGTCAGTGTGCAGTAACCTTTACATGGTGTATGGTAGTCTTTACACAGCTCAGTAGCCTTTAAATGGCTGCAGTAGCCCACATAACCGGCCAGGCTGAGCCAAAAAGGCAACATGGATGGACCATGTGAGCCCACCACCCACAACGTTCAGCGCTGGGGACTCGTGCAGTGCCGTATAGGCAGTGGGAAATGGCAGGGATGAGTTGTGAAGTTGTCAGATATTAATAATTATTTAGATCTCAGTTATTCTTTTTCAACTCATTACAGCTAAAATAATAAACAGTGCTAACTTGGAGCAGGTTGTTACCTGCTTTGCTATTTATAAATGGACCAAGATGACAGTGCGTGTGCATCACGAGGCTCAGCGTCTCACCAGTTTTAGCGATATAGTGTTTATTTGCCGACCTCCTGCGTTTTCACTCGACTCACTAGTGCAAACTTCAGATACGACAGATGGGAAATAATGTGGTCTTCTCCAAAATAGATTTACCACCTGATGAGCAGCCACTCACACTCTCCACCGCGGATGTCCGTCACACTCTGAGCAAGGTGAATGCACGAAAGGCAGCTGGCCCTGATGGAGTACCTGGTCGTGTGCTAAAAGCCTGTGCTAATCAGCTGGCTGGGGTTTTCATGGACATTTTTAATCTGTCGCTGGCCCAGGCAGTCGTCCTGACTAGGTTCAAGACCACCATCATTGAGCCAGTGCCAAAGCATTCGACTGTTTCAGCGCTGAATGACTTCCGCCCTGTCGCACTCATCTCCATCATCTCCAAGTGCTTTGAAAGACTAGTTCTTTGCATTTGGAGTCCTGTCTGCCTGCTACACTGGACCCACATCCCTAAACTCCTCCATCATGGTCAAAAAGGCACAACAGTGTCTTTACTTCCTACGGAGCCTCAAGAAAGCTCACCTGTGTCCCGGGATACTGGTGAACTTCTACCGCTGTACCATCGAGAGCAAACTCACAAACTACACCTCAGTGTGGTTCAGCAACTGCTCCGCATCTGACCGTAAAGCGCTCCAGCGGGGCTGCCCAGTTACCCTCCATTGAGAACATTTTCCTTAAGCGCTGCCAGGGCAGACGAGGAACACCAGTAAGGACGTTTCTCATCCTAACCATGGACTTTTTACCCTCCTCCCATCTGGCAGGTGTTACAGGAGCCTCCGCTCCTGCACCAGCCAGCTCAAGAAGAGCTTCTTCCCTGAGGTTGTGACCCTGCTGAACTCCACACCGTCACTTTAACCGCATCACTGCACCTGTACTTTATATCCTGGTATTGCATTATTCATATTTGCACAGACAGTTGCTGTACATGTTTACTCTGCATACTTACCTTTCTATATATGCTGCTCTCACAGTACATATGACCTACCTTGCATGCCATTTAACTACAGTTGTGTCTGAAAAGTTGAATGAAACTTCCTTTTTACAGACAGACGAAAAATAGACAGATAGAAAGATAAGTTGTTGTGTTTCAGCATTAAACACTATGAGAACGTGTTCTGTGTCCAGACTTGCAGTTTTAATCAGATATGACCCAGTCATGCGATACCCCAGCGCTAGGAGGGTGAAGGTAAACACAGTCCTGTGAAGCTCCACTGAATCTTTTCAAACTGACGCTAATGCAGCATCACTGTATAGCTGAACGTGCTCGGAGGAGAACATTAACCGCATGTTATGTCAGTTAACAGACGCCTGTGCTGGCTACCATCACACTGATTGATGGGGGAGACGGGAGGCCATCCTGCCCACCCAGAGAGAGCATGACAACGGTGCTCTCTTGGACTCTCAGCCACGGGCGGCTGTAGCATCACTGGTGATCGAACTCACAATCTCCTGATAACGAGGCCAATGTTTAGACGATAGATGAATGACCTCCGTCCTGTCGCACTCACCCCAGTTGTGATGAAGTGCTTTGAGAAATTGTGACCTGAAGGTGGCGCATCCACAGACACAGGATCCCCGCCAGTTTGCATGCCGCTCAAACTCAGCGACGGAGGATGCCACTCCACGGCCCTTCACTCTGCCCTTACCCACCTGAACAGTAAGAACACCTACATCCGGATGCTGTTTATCTTCAGCGCTGCCTTTAACAGTGTTGTCCCTACCAGGCTGGTCACCGAGCTCAGCAACCTGGGAATTTACGCCCCCATGTGTAACTGGGCCTTGGACTTTCTGACAAACAGACCTCTGGAGATGTTCTCCAGCCTCACTCTGAATACTGGTGTGCCCCAGGGCTCTGTGCTGAGCCCTCTGCTCTTCTCCTTGCATAGATCCAACATCATCATCAAGTTTGCTGATGACGGCCACATCAGTAATAATGATGAATCGGCCTAGAGGGAGGAAATTCAGCACTTGGCACCTCCACATTGATGGGGCTGAGGTAGAACATGTAGCTTCAAGTTCTTCTGTGTCCACATCTCTGAGGATCTTTCTTGGACTCTCAACATCTCTCACTTGGTTAAAAAGATGCAGCGACATCTTTTCTTCCTGAGGTAACTGAATAAGGTCCATCTGTCTCCTCAGAGCTTCTTTCCATCATCCATCACACTGCAGAATTCCGCAATACACTGATAAGCACCACCATACTCAGCACACTGGATAAACACTGGACTTATTTATCCCTATCATTTATTACACTTACAAGAACATGACATACTGTACGTACTGTACTATACACTGTAAACACTTTCATTTCCGTATATTTGTAAAATATTTTGCACTGAATATTTTTATCTATCTATACATACTTATTTCTACATGTATGCTGACCTATATCTAGTGTTTATATTGTCTATTTAATTATCATATTCACTATATACATTATATATAATCATGTTCCTGTCATATTTATTGTACATTTTCTTAGTGCAGTTATTTATTATATGTTTTGTACTGACAAAGTTGAATCTAATCTATCTGTCTACGGATGGGACGAACTAGGTATACAGTTAAGGTATATGTAACTAACGTTACGGTGCTGATGTAAATATAAGTGCAGGAAGTGAGTGTGTTAAACTCGTCAGTGAGGTTATTTATGAAAATGAAGAAGAGCTTTTAATTTTGTCTGTGATAACAACAAGACAGAAACCTGCTTGATGATAAGACAGTTTTAACTCACTTATGACAAATATATGACAAAATAAAAATAACATGTAGCCTGTCAGGCTAACTGCTCCTGAATGCTGCTTATTTTAGGCTAAATTCACAACCGCTACCCATCTTTAACCCTCAATCATTTTAAATGAAAAACGGCTTGAAATAAAGATTCAGCTGTCTCTTCTGCTCACAGACTTTATGTTTTTACCGCATTAATGGGCAAAATGATCTGTGTTCAGCCCTGTTACCCCAAATTAACTTATTAAATTAACTGTCTTAAAACAGTTAATTTAATAGGTTTTGTTACCAGAAGTTTAATTTGGTAACGGGAGTCTTTAAATAAAATTACTAACACAAGAAAACCGCACTATTTTTTGTTTAGAGAGAAAAAAAACTCTTTGAAGGCTTTGAAGTATTATATATAAGAAACATAGAAAACTTAAGAAAAGTTTGTGTTTCTACTATTTGTTTAAAACGTTCTAAGAGCATTTCATAAATATCAGCATTTCTTGGTAAAAATGAATGTATTGAGTCAATACAGGCTTTTAAATGCCATTTATAGCCTTTATCTCCCTAAACACTGAAAACAGGGTTGCAAAAAATGCTGTACAGTTAAAAATAAACAGCTCATATAATGTCTGATCTGACATTCTGAGGTAGAAAACAACAATTTTCTGAAGATGATGTTCTTACTTTCATTGATACTTTGACAAAAATGCCAAAAAGGTACATTTTTAAAGAGTTTAAAGGTCTCAAATGAGTCTTGTAGGAGCACTTATGACTGTTCAGTCAGTGCAGAGCTTCAGGAACTGAACTGGCCATTTTACACTTTTTACCTTCCATATGAAAAATTAGAATCACAAAGTTCTTTTAGGATCAACTTACTTGACCATCACTCCTATATGAGCTTGTTGGACGTCTCATCAGTGCGACCCTTTTCATTACACGTGTCTTCTGAGTTTTCTTTAGGGACTATTTTGCCTCACAGCGCCCTGCATATATCCCTCCACCATAAAACAGTGTCTCAGTCATCAGGCAGTGAATTCATAACCATTTCATGTAGGAACTTTCTGTGAGGGAGCTTTTAGAGGTGGACGTCTGGTTCCTATCACCACCACTGTGAACAGTTCTGACTCGGTAAGTTTATCTAGAACAGAGTGTTTCACACCAAACCACTCTGATCCGCTCTGTTTACATCTCAACTGTTTAATTATGCAGGAAGTCAGTGGAATTTCCCTTCAGTGCTGGTTACAGTCAGCATCTTCAGACTCTTTATAAACATAATTACTGATGAAACTTAATAATCCTCAAAGAGACACGCACAGCCTGTCTGTCTGTCTGCGAGTCTAACTGAAGACAAAAATGACAGAAACCTGCTTCCCTCACAGACTGAAACACAGTCTATAACAGATTTACACACATTTACATACATACACAGCAGAGGAGCTGTTTGCCTGCAGATCTTCTCTTTTATGGCTCTATATTTTCTTTCTGTTTTACAGTAAAACAGAGATGAGCTCAGACTCACCTGAAGCTTCACAGCGCTGCATCTGAAGCTCCTCTAGCTCAGTATAGTATTAGTTTGAAGTTTAATAGTTTCTGGTCATCTAAAAAAGTTTAAATCTATCAAATCTGTAATGAAAGAGTGTATTTAATCAGAATAAGCTGCAGTTCTGTATCTGAGACCTGCTCTGAATGACTGAACTTCACTCTCTGCCTTACAGCACCTGCACCTCATTAATATTCATCAGCTGCTCTGATTGGCCAGCAGACCTCAGGGCAGAGACGGAAGGTGTCCTCTGTGTGTGTGGGTGTCATAAAAAACAAATGTTCCTCACTTTTCTGACGTACACTGTTAAAGAAGCAGGTTCTTCAGAGGTTTTATTAGTAAAGAAAATGTTTTATATAGACACATGATCACTCAAAGAACCCTCTGCATGATTAAATGGTTCTTTGCATCATGAAAGTGTTTTTAAGAATGTGCTGTAGATGGTTCAATGTCAAGCCTATAAGAATAGAAGAACCTTTTTGGGTGCTATACAGAACCCTTTTCAAAAAGGTTCTATACGGAAAGGAGTCATGAAACAGTGATAAGATCTGATAAGACGTGTGTAAAAGTGTATCCTGCTCTGATTATTTATTTTCAGTAGTCAGATTATATAATCCAGATTAAACACAGTGTGTTCTAACAGACTGTTTATTAGCTGTTATGAGCTCTGAAGTCGTCGTGATCTTGTGAGGAACTCTGAAGGTTTTCTCTCTGATCTTTTCCGAAACTGTCTCAAACTGCGCTGAACTAAACTGTTCCAAACCTGAGTTTACATGCTAATAGCAACTAACGTTTCCACCAGAATTCCCCCATAATTCAGTGTGTGAGGTGGAATCAGAGTGAGTTTTCTTTGGGGACTATTTTGCCTCTCAGTGCCCTGCATGTATCCCTCCACCATGAATGGAGTTTAAGTTCTCTAAACTATCATAAAACAGTGTCTCAGTCATCAGGCAGTGAATTCATAACCATTTCATGTAGGAACTTTCTGTGAGGGGGCTTTTAGAGGTGGACGCCTGGTTCCTATCACCACCACCGTGAACAGTTCTGATTCGGCAAGTTTATCTAGAACAGAGTGTTTCACACCAAACCACTCTCAACCACTCTGATTACATCTCAACTGTTTAATTATACAGGAAATGTAGAAAACTCTGCAGTACTGTGACCGTACAGGCGTCCACTCTGATAAATAATGAGCTGACTCTGAAGCTCTCTCTGAAATCTGTCTCTGATGGCTGACCCCGACTGAGCTGTGAGGTCATCCGAGAGCTGCTGAGCAGATCTTAGACCTCAGAGATTCAGAGTGTCTGATAAAATCGACTGAAACTGAACTGTGACGCTGATTTAATCTCCTCTGAACTGAAGTGTGTTTGTTTATCACTGTCCTCCATCACTCACGCTCATGAGGGGCTTCACTAACCTGCTGAAGAGAGACCCTCATTTCACAAAGTTACAGAGAGTAGAACCTTTCAATGAGTTCTATAATCTTTTTCAGTCGGAACGTAGATGTGATTCTTCTGTATCTGGTGTGAAAATATTAACTCACTGCATTTTAGATTAATAACAGATATTAAACAGAAAAAATCACGTCAGAGTCGTCGTCTCTTCTGTTCAAACAGGAAACTAATCTGCATATATGATTTTCCCCATAATCTCTCTAATCTACAGCCTCTGTACAGAAATAAGACGCTCTCTTCCACTGAGCCCCATTTATATTAACACTGTAGAGAGTATCATCTGGCTCAGTCCAGCAGGGATCTACTTTTGCTGATGTCAGGGCTTCATTACAGTCACTGCAGTAGAGAATACAGACCATAATACTTAGTAATTACTAGGGGTGCGGGAAAAAAACGATTCTTAGACGCATCGCGATGCAGACGTGAACGATTCTGAATCGATTCACAAATGTCAAAAATCGATTTTCTAAATATTTAATTTATAACAATGTTGACGGAACGCAAAGGGCGGAACTTGGAAGTGCAGCGCCCGGACAGTCTGTGGCGGCACATAACAAAAACACCACTGGATGAGCAAGAAATCTGACCGGCTCCCTCTGCATTAAAGCCAGGTTAGATCAGGAGTCACAACACAAATGATAAGAAGAGCCATTTTGACCTTTCAACACAAATCAAACCAGCTTGGGAGCCACAACATTTATGTCATATGTCCAGTATGTCTCAGTATGAGCTGATGTCCTAGTTTAGGCTAAACAATATAAGCGAGAGCGCAGACTTACTCCGCTCTGCTTTAAGCTTCAGCTACAGCCGCTTTCCTCCCACCTCCACCAAAAGTTGAATAGTTTCTTGTAAAATGTCTCTCAGCTTTCCGCTGTTTTACGAGGCTGAAGTCGCTTCTTATTCTCCAGCTTCTTGCTGAACTTTCCGGTACCACCTCAAGTTTTGACTGAGACGCCGAATGTAATTGCGGCACCATTTAAGGTGGAACGGGAAAATTAGAAAGAGAAGCGAGTTCATCTTTGCAACTTTTTAGTGTGTCACAGTCTCTCACTGCAGATTTAACGTACCAGGAAACGAACTGCGCTGCTTATAAACGCGAATAAGTCCATTCATCTCCAAATGTTCGTCTGTCTTTCTCTTTTCCTTTTCGTTCGCTACTAGCCAGGCGAAACCTTGTTGCTATTTTATGCTCCAAACCAGAGCAGTGAATGAGAGTCTTCTAGTTCACTTGTCACATCACTTCCGTTTGATTTATTAATAAAAGATATTGGACGTAAATGCACTATGGATCATTACAAATACTTTGTTTTAAAACTACCGAGTCCTCAGACAGTAAGAAAATAGAAATCATGTGTAGAAACAAAAAGATGCATCGATAATCGTTTTATAATCGCATCGCAGCCCCTGAACTGTAACTGAATCGAATCGTGAGGTGCCTAAAGATTCTAAAGATGCCTAAAGAATGTAAATGAATATATAATATTATTTAAATATTAAATATTTTTATTATTTAAATATCTAAGTTTAAGGAGAAGAGATCTGCTGATGATCTTCAGACAGTGCCCCCTTGTGTTAATACAGAGACTTTACACACAGACAGACATGAGCACTTATGTTCTCATTTAAACTGATTCTACTAGAACTTAAACTGAACTGGAACTATATATATATATATATATATATATATATATATATATATATATGTGGGAAGATAAATAATGACACCAGACTCTAAATGTGGATGTTGTAAAGATGTTGGTGTGTTTATTTGCAGGTATTATTCTGTTTGCTACATTAACCGTAAACATCTATAACAGTTTAAACAGCGTGTTTATATTTACAGTCTGAGTGAAAGTGAACTGTGGTGTTCAGGTTCTTAACTGAGTTTTACAGAGTTTACTCCACACTTCACTGAGAATCCACTCTGTTCTTTGGTCAGACACTAGAGGGCGCTCTCCAGAGAGTCTGAAACGAGCGTCTGCAGAAAACTGTCATTTGTAGGCGTTCATTCATCTTTCTATTACAGATAAACCAACTTGTTTATTTGACACAGAAAAACAGAAAACATCTAAACACTGACTTTAACAGACCATTTTAACAGCTTTATACTCCAGCCTGTCATATTCACACCGGCAGTGAGAGCCGATCAGTCGGTATCAGGAACGCTAGTCTTAAATTTGATGTATCAAAATGGAAAGTCGCTGAATTTTCATGTAAAACATTTTACTTTCTAAAATGAAAATAAATTCCTGCAGGAATGATTATAAACATTTTTAATCATTACGTTAACCCATTCAGACTCTCTCTGGCGCCCTCTAGAGCTCCTCAGAGGTGTTTTTGGTATAATGGAAAGAACAGGAAGTGCCTCTGATCCCCCTGGGACCTCGTAATGATCAGAAAGGGAATAAGAAAGTTTCTGTTTGTTTGTGCTGGTGCTGTTTTAGAGAAACTAGACATTTTATGATCTGTGACGTCACTCAGCCGCCATCAGCAGGTGAGTGTAATCTACATTCATAACAGCAAAAAGAACATTAAAATGAAAAATAAATACAAAAACAAAAATGACAAGGAGACAAATCTCACTAAAACAGTCTCGCTTGGTGATTTTATCAGAATCACCAAGAACAGCAGGATTTAACCAAACTGTCACAACAAAGACGCCCATAAAAAATTCAGTAACACGTTACTGTAGGGTTCTGTTCATAAGGGTACACGCCTAAAAAAGGTGGTTCTTCAAGGGTTCTTTTAGTAAAGAAAATGGTTCTTGATAGAACCATGAACACTCAAAGAACACTTTGCATGGTTTAATGGTTCCTTAGATTAATGGAGAATGTTTAAATGGTTCTATGTAGAACTTTTCTGAAAAGGGTTCAACATAGCACCAAAAAGAGTTCTTCTATTGTTACAAGCATGACATTATAACCATAGCAGAACCCTTTTTGATGCTATACAGAACCATATACAACACATTCTCTATCAGTCTGAAGAACCATTTAAGCATGCAAGTGGTTCTTTGAGTGTTCATGGTTCTATATAGAATCTTTTTCTTTACTAAAGAACCCTTGAGTGCAAATGACACCTACATAAGCTGGTCATGATAACTGGCAAACCTACCTGAACGTTTACAAATGTTTATTCCTTTATGCATCATTTGTAATAAAGGCTGTTTTAATTAACTTTAATCCAAACTGGCAAACGTAACCTTTATAGCGATTGGTGCTTGTTGGAATATGCGTTTACAAACATGTATGTAGGGTTATGTCAGCTGTCATGACCAGCTTATGTAGGTTCCTACAGATCCCAACAGTAAAGTGTTACTGAACATTAATTTCATATGGATTTTACATAATAAAATTTCTTTTATATGATAACAATATTTCTGTTTTTACAGCAGAAACCAGCAGTAATATTTTTACTCCATTTCTGAACGTTTGGGGTTCCAGGACTGTGAAGATCGAATAATAAACAGCTACAAGAGAAAAACACATCAGTGCAGAGTTTCACTCAGAGCTCGTTTACACCTGGACGTTTCGTGCATTTTGAGTATCTGGATTATAAAGATTTTCCACATTAAAAATGCAGGTGTGAACACACCATTTAAACCAGATTAAAACTCCAGCCACTTCAGGAGACGCAGTTTATCCAGACGTTCTTCAAGGGTACACACATCTATCTCCCCACCAAACCCCTCCCAGCACCGTGACTCCTCTCCCTGTTCTGCATATGAGGAGGCTCCACCCACTGGACCACCTCTAATAACAGAATCATCATTCCTTCAGTTCAGCCGTGAGTTTCTCCTCTGAGTTTAATTCATTCTTCAGTGTCTCAAACTCGTAAAAATGAAAGCTCCAGTTTGGTTAATCTGAACTTCACCTCATCGTTATTCACCGTCAGTACATTACGCAGTGCATTGCGTTTTAATGCTCACGATTTGAGGTGAGTAAACAGGCCCTTTTCACAAGAGCGGAAGTGCTGAGTCCAACAAATTCCACTATTTTCTTCAGGCGATTGTTAACCTCAGAAGTGCTGCCGTTCGTATCACTTCAGCTCTCCATGGAAAGGTGGGTCACGTCATCGTTGTCACAGGTACAAAGGCTGAAACTGGAGGATCTGTTAGAACAGCTGGAGAACCAAACACACAACAGTGTGCGAGTCTAAGCTGAATAAAGGATATAAATTCTTCGTGGAGGAATTCCATCAGTCAGAGCGTGATAAGAAACGTCTGCTCCTGCTGAGCTCGCGCTATTAAAAACTTTAAAAGGGAGTGAAAACTGTTCCACTGAAAGCGGCTGGAAACAGAACCGACTTTAAACTGCCATCAGTGTAACGTTCGTCAGCAGCACCGAAAATCACAAAAAAAAATCACCAAAAGCACAAACTCAGTTCTCCTCTGCTCGTCACCAGCTGAGAAGCCGAAACTGAAGCTGTTTCTGTTATAAACTCGAGCACTTAATCTGTACACGCTAACGCACCATCGCCGTTACTGATGCTTTAGCAGCTACAGCGTTAATCTGCACTGAGAACTGCCAGCAGGAAAAACACAAAAATGTGAAAAGGGCCTGTTAGTACCACCAAAACTGTGATTTTCTTTTGAATAAAGCCAAAACATGGGGGACAACATGAGTGATTGGCATATTAAGTGCTACAAATCAATCAGATTTCAATCTCAGTAACTAGAGATGTGTTTCACTGTCAGGTGTAAATAAATGTGATTAAATGTGATCAGGTTACAATCCAGATACGGCTCACAGTAACCGAGCGGGTGTAAACGAGTCAGAGTCGGACAGTGAGTCAGACAGTGAGTCAGACGGTGAGTCGGACAGTGAGTCAGACAGTGAGTCGGACAGTGAGTTGGACAGCAAGTCGGACAGCGAATTGGACAGTGAATCGGACAGTGAGTCGGACAGCGGGTAGGTAAGAACGTTCACTAAAACACACCAACAGCACCGACACAAACACATGCACGATTACATCAGACTCCCTCTGCAGTGCTACTGAGGAATCTTCTGGAAGAGCTTCTGTTCACAAACACCTCTAATTATTGCAGGTAAATAAATGAACAGGCGATGAATGGAGCGAGAGAAAGAGAGAAAGAGAGAGAAAGAGAGAGAGATGTAGAAATGCTACAGAACTCAGAGAGGAGGCCTAGACGCTCTCACAGATCAGAGTTTCCACCACAAACGTGTTCTCAAAGTGTCGAATAGAACGACAGCTCTGCACATCACGCCTGAAAATACCTGAAAAAAACAAACAAACAAATAAGAAAATGATTAGTCCTGCACCGCATTAAAGATTTCACATCAATTTAGAAGGTTTCTCCAATAAGTTACTTCAAAGTAACTGTAAATTAATTGTGATATTAAAGTAATTGTAACTGTGAATGAACTATATCTGTAAATTAACTGTAATTGTAATTTAATCATAAACATTCCTTAAACGTAACTATACTTTTACTGTAGCTGTAAATGGGAGTCAATTTACTGTGACTGCAATGTAATAAAAGTAATTGTGACTGTAAATAAGTAACTGTAAATGTAACTTTTGGGGCTAAGAAGGAAGTGTAATCATAACTGTAAGTGTGGCTGTAAACATAGGTGTGACTGTAAATGTAGGTGTAAGTGCAACTGCAACTGTAATTGTAACTGTAGAGGCAAGTTTAAGTTTAACTGTATGGCTAACTGTCTGACGATAAATGTAACTTTAAAGGCAAGTCTAGGTGTAACTGTATGAGTAACTGTAACTGTAAATGTAACTGTAAGTGCAAATGCACGCATAACTGCAACTGTAACTAACTGCAACTGTAACAGTGTGCTATTAAGCGG